AAAACAACAATCATGAGCTATAGCTTAGATATTAAGCATGAAACATTGTCTAGTGGACCTCTACAAATATTGTTCAAATTTTAGTCAAATGGGATTAAAATTTTCTTCACCCTGTGGGTCATGGGTTATCCCTATATAATATAAGTGTCATTCAATAAGTTTTGATAATGTTTTTGTCTTTCATTTTAAAATGATGAAACTTTGTATGTTTGACAAGCTACTAAATGACGTAAATCACGTTCCTGTGCGAGGTATGACATCACATATATAATATATTATGACGTCATTTGAACGTTGCTCAAGCATCATGGCTGCTTTGAACAGGGTGTATATGTAAAGATAGAGTTTTTGAGAGGAAAAATGGGAAAGGAAATCCATAACAGTTATGTGAAGCTTGTGGTTAATCTGCTGTTTCATTTAATACAGATTATAGATGGATAAGGCGATTTGCAGATGGAAAATTTGATGTTTCTGATGACCTCTATAGCGGACAGTCAGTTGAGGTTACAGACAATTTAAGTTCCATGTTGAAAAGTAAGTGACCGAATGAAGATCGGCGATAAACATGCGAGGAATTAGCTGAAAGTTTTGGTATTTCTGTTGGGTCAATTCCTACAATTCTGACACGTCTAACGATATGAAGGCAAACAGTATTTAAACCCCATTGTGGCTATAGATGAGACATGGCTTCGTAGCTATGAACCCAAATTTAAGTCACAGTCCTCCGAATTGGCACACTCCAGGGTCGCTAAGGCCAACCTGAAACAGCTCACAGTTATAGCCTATGATAATGGCGGTGTAATGGCGTCGGATTATGCTCCTCATGGACATACAGTTAACAGAAAGTATTATGAAACATTTTTGAAAGAGAAATTGAGACCAGCTATCAGGAAAAAATGACCAGTGCTCTTAAAGTATGGGGTTCTGTTATTTCATGACAACTCAAATCCGTACCAAGTGACGTCAAAAATCAAGGAATATAACTGGAAAGTGTTGCCTCACCCTCCTTATTTGCCAGACATGAGTCCCTGTGACTATGACCTTTTCCCTAAACTCAAAATGCCACTCAGGGATGTTAGATTAAATGACTTAGAGAAACTTTAAGTTGCTATGGCCACAGAGCTTCAAAGAATCACATACAGTTGCGTACCAATGGGAATTGGTGATCTTCCACACAAATGGAAAGTGGTTGTTAGAATTACAGGGGTAGTTATTTTGAAGGAATATAGATACGGTAAGGCGTGTATCACTTATAGTTTTCTTACAATAAGGCCTTTATCAAAACTTATTGAATGACCTTCGTATGATAAGTATGTTTTAAAAATCTTGTACTGAACAATGAAAGGCAAGAGCTTAGATATTTGGCATGAAACATTGTGTAGTGGACAGCTACAAAATATGCTCAAATTTTAGATAAAAGATAAAAGGTCTAGAAATGAAATAAGATTGAAATCAGATCAAAACATTAAAATATAAGTTGAAAAAAAAATATAGGATATTTTTTCTTGGAGACAGCTCTGTCGTGAAGGAGGTAGTCATGTCGCCAAGGAGATTGAGCTCTATGGTGGTAGTTGTGGTGTTCAGGTGTTACTTCTCTGCAACTACTGGCTAGAATTCAACGAAACTATCAATACCAAGATGAGATGCGCCACTGTTGAATTGATATGGGAACTATCGATACAAAATGGCAATTTGCATCTCATTGGCAGTCCAGATAATACTATTTGACACAGAGTTATGACCTCTGTTATTGCCCTGAATTTTTATCCTGTACAAAGAATATTACTGTTTATCACACACCTATGCAGCTTTTACGACTCCTTAAAAATGGTATTGCACGACTGCATATATTTTGATGTGACATCATTTTCGTTATATAAACATAGCATTAAGATGAGTTAAATGTCAACACAGAATTATGGCCCTTGATTAGATATGCAATATTTTATCTGCCCTTCATTACCAGTTTCTAAAATTATAAATGCAGCCACGAATAACTATTTTGCCATTATTTTCATGTGTTGCATAATGATTCACATTTAGCTGTGTCCTTTCGTTTTAAGTGTACTATTTAGAATATCTTCAACGATAGGATTTATAATTGTTCTTGCAGGCAACTCTGTTGTGTTGAAAAAATTGTCAGTTTTCCTCTGCTTCGGTTTTGAAGCAGCCATGACATATATCCATGTTAATAAATGCTTGCAATTATAATAAAAGGAAATCAAACAATATGTTTTGTCAAGCACCTACACTATAAAGACGTTATTTGACTGAACAGAATCAAAATAGTTTATATTGGCGGGTATTAATGGAAAAAAACAACAAAAAACACAGCCAACTGTAAAGTCAACTGTTTCAAAATGAAACAGCAAATAGGCTTCTAAATTTCCTCACGCATTTGATTTACAGCATGTGTAAATGAACACATCAAATTGGAAATCTTGTGCATAATTTTAGTTGATTTTGAAGCATAAAATAGGTTGATACTTGTTGTCTGGAACTCAAGTACATTTGTATATTTAAAGTAAAAGAAAAAACATATGTTTCTCTTAAACCATGAAGCTAAAGCTTAAATATTTGGCATAAAACATTGTCTAGTGAACTTGTACCAAGCAGAGCTGCATCAGTACTAGGGGTGTAGTACTTAAGTACCAGTACCAGTACTTGGCAAATTATGCAGTACCATTACCAGTACCAGTACTAGATTTTAGCTCGGTACTGCAGTACCAGTACATTTTTTGGTGAAGTAATTAAGTATCAGTACCATTACTTTTATATATTCATCAAAGTTTGAATAAATACAGTGTCAAACAAATAATTGCAAATATTATTCAGCAAAGTAATCATAATTTACTTTAAAGTTAACATAACATTTTTATAACTTTATAGTTTTAAACAATATTTACAACATATATTCATGTCATATCTAATTGTTTAGTTACCAGTCAACTGTATAAATACAATGCAAACATCTTTCATTTAAAACACAACAGTCTTTTGTTGCCTTTCACACCTTCACACCTATGTTCAATTTATACCAAAGTAAATAACAACTTTTTATTTTGCTAACAATATCACTTTTTTACACTTGAAATGGGATTATTTAGAATAGAAGAAATTAGTTAGTGTTTATTTTGCTCTTTTACAAGTAAATACAAAGTAATAAAAGATTTTAATAAGGATATTTTAGGGTAAAGAGTTATTGAGTCTGTTTAACTCAGTTTAATTTTTACTTAAAGTCTTTGGTGCTTTTTTATGATGAATACTATGTTAACATTTGAAGGAATATTGCAGCAAATTATCTATAGATTTGATAACTTACTTTTTCACAAAAATAAAATATAGTTAATGTAATTTACAGCTTTATTTTATGAGAAAAATTGATGCTATTTTTATCAGAACCAAAAGTACTGCCTAGTAATACAGTAGCAGTACCACTTTTTAAGACAGTACTGCAGTACCAGTACCAGTAGTAGCGAAATTTTGTAAGAGTAATTCAGTATCAGTACCAGTACTTGCAAAATCGCTGCAGTACATACTGCAGTACCAGTACCAGAAATGCAGCTCTGGTACCAAGTTCGTTAAAATTATAGCCGTGAATTGGTCTGCCCTTAGAGGTCATGGATTTTCTGATGTATGTAGAAAAACTTCTAAAACACCCAACCCTTGTTTTTCCTTAGAAAACCAGTGACTTCCATAGCAAACATTGGTTTCCACAGCAATTACATGTATTGACTTCTACATTAACCACTAACTTTTATGGCAACCATTGATTTTCCTCTAAGCAACTAGTGACTTCCATTACTTTCTTAAGCAACGAGTGACATTAATAGCAACCATTGACATTCCAAATCAACTAGTGACTTTCATAGTAACAATTGACTTTTCTTAGTGGCAAGTGACTTCTTTGGCAACCACTGACTTATATTAGAAAGAAAAAAATTCCAAAGCAGCCATTGTCATTTCTTAGCAACCAGTAACTTCCTTAGCAATCATTTACTTTGATTGTAAGTTAACCTTTTACTTCCATAGGAATCATTGACTTTCCTAAGGAACTAGTGACTTCCATAGCAAGCACTGACATTCGATAGCAACCAGTGACTTCCATAGTGACCATTTATTTCCACTGTTACCATTGACTTTCCATAGCAACTAGTGACTTCCAGAACAAACATTTATATTCCTTAGCAGCCAGTGACTTCCATAGCTCACATTGACTTTCCAAAGCTGCCAGTGACTTCCATGCATATATCCATAGCAAACATTTACTTCCACTGTTACCATTGATTTTTTATAGCAATCATTTAATTCCACTGCTACCATTGACTTTCCATAACCACTAGTAACTTCCATAATTTATATTCCGTAGCAACCAGTGACTTCGATAGCTCACATTGATTTTCCATATCAGCCAGTGATTTCAATAGCATTCAGTGACTTTCCAAAGCAACCATTGGCTTTCCTTAGCAACCAGTTACTTTTGTAGCCTCAATTGACTTTCGTAGCAACCATTGACTTTCCTTAGTAACTAGTGACTTCCATAGCAAGCATTGACTTTCATTTGCAGCCAGTGACTTTAAGAGCTGACATTGATAGAAACAATATTGATGTATCATTGATATTTTTATGTCGATCAATAATCGATATGCTTTTAAAAAAAATAAATTTGACTTATTGATTAAATGTTTAGAAATTAGGAAAATTCACCCAAAACATTTGTGTCCATGTCTAACATTATCTGTTGCTACATAAATGACATAGTGAAAATATTTCACAGAAATGATGACAAAAAGATGGTCTGGATAAAAATCATGCAATTGACTTTTATAAACAAGTCACACTGAACAGAACATGTTTTCAACTGAAATCATTTAAACAGGTATAAAAGTGAATGACAGACAAATAACAACTGAAAGAAATATTATTATGTTTTAAGTTGTGTTGATTGAAATTGTGAGGTTTCATTGTACAGTATATAAATATTTCTTTATATCACTCAGATAGTTTCAAGTGTCACAGCTAAAATGGCAGCTACATCAAGACCATATAAAGTATGGAGTGCAGATAGAAAGAAGAAGAAATCAGTAATTGCTTCCTCCTTAGAAGAACTTACTAGAAAAGGTTTGTTATTACATTAATTGTTATTTAGCTTACCAGAGCACAAAGTGCTCAAGGTGAGCTTTTGTCATCATAATTTGTATGGCGTCCATCATCCGTCAGTGCGTCCCTCGTCAACTTTTTATACAAACTACTTCTCAGAAACTACTGTGCCAAATTTGATGAAGTTTTCCTGGAATGTTTCTAGCATGAAGCTCTACTAAAATTTTCAAATGGTTCTGCTCAAAAAGAGCATCTCGGTCAGAAGGATTAATCAAAGCACAGAAGGCGCTGAATTTGTTTGGGTCTCAAAATGTCAGAAAGGTGAAGGTTGTAAGATTATAAACCAATTTGTTTTTGTATAGTGCCATCAATGCTTTCCAGCGTTTTAATTGTAGTTAATTGGCTAAAAGACTAATTGCAACACTGATATTCAATCCAATGTTTATTTGACTTAAACAATTTGAAAAAAAAAATGAGTTGCCTTAACTTGGATTTGAACTCCAGACCTCTCGCTTCCTAAGCGAGCGCAAACATCTCGGCCACGGTGAATTTATATGTTAACGGCCTGAAGAAAACATATTATTCTAAATTAGGGTTTGTAACGACGCTAACTGTTATTTAACACTTGTGTAAATAATCATGGCGCTTACTTTAAGCATGTATATATATAAAGAATAAAACAATATTAGAAATCTTCGACCATTCGGGAATTATTCTGCTTGAAAATTAATGCGCCTGTTATTTGACCATCTTTACGCAGTGATCTCCCCTGAATTTTTCGGCGTTAGTGTACATATAAAGGGAAGTAACCACTTCAAAAAAGCGGACTACTTTTGGCATTTGCAATTAACAGCATTAGAGTCTGAAATTTCGCTACCATTATTTGTTTTGTCTGACGACCCAAACAAATAAAAACAGATTTTTAAAATGAAATCTTTAAAATCTTCTTTTCTGAAAGTGCAAGGCCTAGAGCTTAGATATTTTTTGTGTGTAGGATCATCTCATGAAACTCTACAAAAATTGTTCAAGTTATAGCCTGGGGGTCAATAAGTTCTAATTGGCCATGCCCCAGGAGGGTCATTGATTTTTAGCTCACCTGTCACAAAGTGACATGGTGAGCTTTTGTGATGGCTTTTCGTCCGTCTTCCGTCCGTAAACTTTTACTTTAAACAACATCTCCTCATAAACCGCTAAGCCAATTTCATTCGAACTCCACAGGAATGTTCCTTAGGTAGTCAACTTTAAAAATTGTTCAAAGAATTTAATTCCAACCAGAACTCTGGTTGCCAAGAAAAAACTTAAATCTTCTTTCAGAAAAGCGTAAGAGCTAGAGGTTAAATATTTGGCATGAAACATTGTCTAGTCAGTGTCTACCAAGTTTGTTCAAATAAATGCCCTTGGGTCAAAATTGGCCCCACCCCGGGGGGTCATTGATTTTTCTTATTCGTATATAGTAAAAACTTAGTAAGCCCCAGATATTAAGCATGAAACATCTTCTAGTGGGTGTCTACCAAGTTTGTTCAAATAAAAGCCCTGGGGTGAAAATTGGCCAAGCCCCAGGTGGTCATTGTTTTTCCCTTTATGTATATAGTAAAAACTTTAAAAAATCTTTTTCTAAAAAACCCTAAGAGCTAGAGCTAAGATATTTAGCATGAAACATCTTCTAATGGGTGTCTACCATTTTTGTTCAAATAATGGCCCTGGGGTCAAAATTGCCCCGCCCCGGGGATCATTGATTTTCCTTATATGTATATAGTAAAAACTGAAAAAATCTTTTTTTAAAAAGCCCAAATAGCTTTAGATATTAAGCTTGAAAAATCTTCTAGTGGGTGTCTACCAAGTTTGTTTAAATAAAAGCCCTGGGGTCAAAATTGGCCCCGCCCCTTGGATCCTTGATTTTCCTTGTATGTATATAGTAAAAACTTAAAAAATCTTCTTTTAACAAACCAAAGAGCTAGAGTTTAGATATTAAGCATGAACTATTTTCTAGTGAGTGTCTACCAAGTTTGTTCAAATAAAAGCCCTGGGGACAAAATTGGCCCCGCCCTGAGAATTTCAGCGTATATTGTTATGTACCTGGTTGCCAATCAGTCTGTCTGTCCATCCATCAATCTGTCCATCCATTGGTCTGTTAGCAGGTTTTCTTAGTGTACTGTCTGTATTTTTTAACCGGTGGAAGGTAATTAAAACTACTTTGCAGAAATGTTAACCATAATGAGATTGTGTTAAAATCGCAGGTTTGACCTTTCTGAGGTTAAGGTCACACTTTGTCTGCACTGTATCTTTTGAACCAATAGAAAGAAATTAAAACTTTTTGGCAGAAATATTCCTTTTATTCAGACGGTGTGCAGAACACAAGTTTGGACTTCTACGATCAAAGTTGGCCCCGCCCTGGGAATAAATTGATTTTTATAAACTTATATAGTCTTATATAGTCTGTATCTTTTGAACCGGTGGAAGGAAATTGAAACTACTTGGCAGAAATGTTGACCATAATTGGATGAAGTTCAGAGCCCAGGTTTGAACTTTCTCAGGTCAAGGTCATATTTAGTCATTTTGTATCAATATCAAAATTTTGTGTCCATTCTGTATCTTTTGAACCCATAGAAAGGAATCAAAACTTTTTGGCAGGAATATTACTTATATTGAGATGGTGTGCAGAACACAAGTTTGGACTTCCTAAGATCAAAATTAGCCCCACCCTGGGGATTAATTGATTTTGTAGACTTATCTGTATCTTTTGAACCGGTGGAAAGAAATTGAAACTACTTTGCAGAAATGTTAACCATAATGTGACCATGTGCAGAGCACATGTTTGACTTTCTTCAGGTCAAGGTCAAGGTTACACTTAGTCATTTTGTATCAATTTCAAAAATTTATGTCCACTCTATTTCTTTTAAACTGATATTTAGTATTGAATTAAATCTATTTGGCAGAAATATTTATATTACTGAGATGTGCAGAGGGTAGTTATGGACTACCTCATAGAGCATAACATGAAATCTACTGGTTGGAATTTTATACAAGTTTGTACAATCGTCAAGTATATTAAAAGGAAGCACAGTGCACAGGAATCATAATTCTTTCTGGACTCATTTTAGAGTTATTGCCCTTTGTTACTTTTTACTTGTCTAGTGCATCACTTGAAAATCAATGGTTGGAATTCAATGCAACTTCATACAATGGTCAAGCGCAGTTAAATGAAGTGCAGTGCTCAAGAATAATGACTCTATTTGGACTAATTACATAGTTATTGCCCTTTGCTACTTTTTTTGTCAAAAACTAATAGATGGAAATCATTGAAACTTCATACAATGGTCAAGCGCAGTGAGATGAAGTGCAATGCACTAGAACCATAACTCTATTTGGACTAATTACATAGTTATTGCCCTTTGTTACTTTTTCTTGTCCAGTGCATAACTTTAAAACTAGTTGTTGGAATTCAATACAACTTCATACAGTGGTCAAGGGCAATGGAGGAATTGCAGTGTACAATAACCATAACTCCATCTTCAGTATTTGCAGAGCTATTGCCCTTTGTTCCTTTTCCTTGTCCGGTGCATAACTTAAGAACTAATGTTTGGAATTCATTACAACTTCATACAATGGTCAAGCGCAATGAGAGGAAGCGCAGTGCTCAAGAACCGTAACTCTTTCTGGACTTATTACAGAGGAATTCAATAAAACTTCATCAGTGGCCAACCACAGTGAAAGGAAATGCAATGTACAAGAACCACAACTATCTTTAATAATAAATTGCCCACAACCATAACACTATTTCAATTCTTTTACAAAGTATTCTGTATTTAAGTTATTTCCTCATTTCCGAAGCAGTCTTGCGGGGGTATTAATCACATTTAGTGATAGCTCAAGTTGAAAGAAAAACATGTTGCAGACAAATGTAATAAATGGGTATCCTCTCTGTTTAAAGATTATTTTTAGCTCGACTATTCGATAAGAATAAGTAGAGCTATTGCAGTCACCCGAGCGTCGGCGTCAGCGTCTGCGTCGGCGTAACCACTTATGTTAAAGTTTTTGTAATAGTTCAAATATTTTCAAAGTTCATTGACATATGACTTGGAAACTTTGCACACTTGTTCACCATCATGACCTCAACCTGTAGACAGGAGGAGGTAACTCTATCAAGCATTTTGACAGAATTATGCCCCTTTTACGACTTAGAATTTATGTTAAAGTTTTTGTAATAGTTCAAATATTTTCAAAGTCCATTGACATATGGCTTTGAAACTTTGCACACTTGTTCACCATCATGACCTCAACCTGTAGACAGGAGGCGGTAACTCTATCAAGCATTTTGACAGAATTATGCCCCTTTTTCGATTTAGAATTTATGTTAAAGTTTTTGTAATAGTTCAAATATTTTCAAAGTCCATTGACATATGGCTTTGAAACTTTGCACACTTGTTCACCATCATGACCTCAACCTGTAGACAGGAGGAGATAACTCTATCAAGCATTTTGACAGAATTATGCCCCTTTTTCGACTTTTTTATGTTAAAGTTTTTGTAATACCTCAAATATTTTCAAAGTCCATTGACATATGGCTTTGAAACTTTGCACACTTGTTCACCATCATGACCCCAACCTGTAAACAGGAGGAGGTAACTGTATCAAGCATTTTTTTTTACTATCAAGCACTAAGAATAGTCGAGCGTTGCTGTCCTACCGACAGCTCTTGTTGATAATTTTAAATTCTATTTTCTTAAAACAACTTTGCTTTCGGGCATATATTGCCATGTCATCTCAAAAAGTATTTGTGGTATCAACTTGAAACTTCATAGGTGGATAGATCTTATTGAGGAGGAATGTTATGCACAAGAATGATAACTCTACCTTTTATTATTTTTGAGTTATTGCCCTTTGTTATTTTTAGCTCGACTATACGAAGTATATGGAGAGCTGTCCTACTCGCCCCGGCGTCGGTGGTGGCGTCCGCGTCCAGATTTCAGATTAAAGTTTTGGTGCAGTAAAATTTTTTTCACTATAACTTTGTCATTTCT